CCTATTTCGAATGTGAATAGAATACGGTTGGTCTTTCTCATTCTCTTGAATTCTAGCGTGCGGCCACTCAACGTCCGGATTCCGTGAAGGGAATAAGCAGAAAATGCTAAGACTTACCTTATCGGTGACCCAACCCAATGGGTCACCAGGAAAAAGACAAAAAAAAAGCAAAAAATAAAAATAAAAATAAAAAAGAAAAAGAGGGGATAATACGCAACCCAGGTCAGATGGTGACCTTGGGTCGCAACCGAGCGCAACACACTTTTTTTGCTTTCTTTTTTTATTTGATTTTTTTTTATTCTATTATTGCTCTTGAATTTGGACGCATGTTGCTTTCTTTTTTTATTTTTTATTTTTTTAATTCAATTATTGGTAGTTAGATAAGGCATGGGACACATGTCTTTTTTTAATTGGAAGTCATAATTTTATTGTGATAAGATAAGATAACTTAATAATTGAGTTTATTTATATATTAAAAAAAAATATCAAAATTCGTATTTTTTCATTCTCTATAAATAGAGACCACTCTTGATATGTTTTAAATCACAACTGAAATTTCTCTCTTTTCACCCTCTTTTTAATCATACTTTATTAATTTTATCATCTCTTTTATTTCTCTCAATTTCCAACAAATACCATATGGATCCAAATTTTGAGAATTACCTCAATTCTCAAAATTTGTCAAACTCTGAAAACTTTCAGAATTTCGAAAATTATTCACAAGAGCCATTTTCTCCTGATCTTACCCAATTTCCAGTTTCTGTAAATGCCCAACCCCCACAAAACATCTTTCGAAATCTATTTCAAAATGTGCAACAGACACGCACAAATCCTCAAAAAGGAACGAAAAATGTTAGTTGGAGTGTGGCGGAAGATCTTGCTCTAATGTCAGCTTGGTGTTTCGTTAGCGAAGACAAACTGTGTGGCAAGAATCAGAAGGGTTCTTCATTATGGTCACACATAGCTAAAATGTTTGAGCAAGCTCGAATGGAAAATCCAGAAGAAATTGGTGAAAGAAACTTGGATTCAATGAAAGGTCGTTATAAACGCCTTAATGAAAATGTAAACAAGTGGAGAGGTGCTTACATGGAAGCATACAGAAATAAAAGAAGCGGAATGAGCATGAAAGATGTTGAAAAAGAAGCTCATGTAATTTATGAAGCTGGTGGTAGCAAGTTTACAGACTTGCATGTGTTTGAAGAAGTCATGCGAAAGCATCCCAAATGGGAATTAAAATTAGATCGTGATTCAACTCGTTCGCGCCCTGAAGATGAAACGAGTAATGAAGAAAGCCATGGCAGTTCCAAAAGATCAAGGACTACTGAAGATGGAGATTATTCAATTCCCTCAAATCAAGAAACTCCAGTTAGTGATGATTTTGTGACTTCCCGTTCCGAAGGTAGAGATATGGCAAAAAAAAAAAGGAAAAAAGGTAGCATCACAATCTTCTTCCATTCCTGATGAGTTCACTGCAGAAATTCGTGCACTAAGACTTACAAGAAAGAACGAATGTGATTTAATGACAAAAATATCGAACGATAGGATGGAGTTGGAACGCAAGAAAGAAGAAAGGAAGATTAGGAAAATGAATATGATGGTGTTGAATACGCTGTTGGCAAAAGACCACTTATCGCCGGAAGATGAAGAGATGAAACGTCACTTAATTTCAATTTTATTTGGAAAGTCGATGTAATTTATTATCATGCAGCTTTCATTTATGTCGTTATAGTTATTCTGATGTAAGCTTTTCAATTCCTGTAATTCAAGTTATTCAATAAAAGTCTATTTAGTAAGTGTTTTTTTTTTAATCTTTTTCAGAAATCACATGTTACTTTAATGATTGTTCTATCTACTAGTATAATAGTCACTTATTAAATGAATGAGCAAGAGCTATTTGGAATATAGTGTATGAGTTATTACTATCAAATAGCAGCTTTATTTTGTCTTCCAAAATTCACATGCATTGAATCCGGATCAAATAGCAGCTTTATTCAATAAAATTTACATTCATTGAATGCACATGCAACTTTTATTTATTTTACTTTACTTTTGCTTTTACTTTACTTTACTTTTGCTTTTACTTTACTTTACTTTTCTTTATATTAACTATACTTTACTTTTCTTTTACATTTACTTTAATTTTATTTTAAGTTAAACCTACACCAACTCTTCATACTACATTCCTATATAATATGGTTGGATTCAGATCAAGTTGATATCAAAATCAGATCATATCTATTTTCTTTATATCAATTATAACTTTGTTTTTTCGTAAGACAATTCGTTCTTGTTCAGAAATGTCTTCCATTGAAAACTCACCTGAAAATTCAAGTTCTAGTTCTGAAACTTCCAATTTCATCGAATTTGATGAATGGGAAGAACGAGTGATTCAACAAAATCAACAATTTGATCATATTATGGAAGATTTGATTGTTCGTATTCCAAATATGGTCTTACAACCAACAAATCCCGTTTCTAGAGGTAGAAGGCAAGTCATTGAGAGGCAACAAGAGAGAGGAGAGGCGAATGTGTTCAATGACTACTTCTCCGACAATCCAACCTATCCTGAAGAGGTATTCCGTCGGAGATTTCGCATGCGTAAGAATCTTTTTCTTCGTATAGTGAGCGAAATCACCACCAACGACGAATATTTTCAACAAAGGCGTGATGCCACTGGTAGGCTGGGCATTTCACCATTGCAGAAATGTACTGCAGCCATAAGGGTGTTAGCCTATGGAACATCAACGGATGCTGTTGATGAATACTTGCGAATAAGTGAAGCTGTAACGAGGGAATCTCTCATGAAATTCATAGAAGGCGTCATTTCTAACTTCGGCAGCCAATACCTCAGAAGGCCTAATGAACAAGATTTGGCAAGAATACTTCATGCGGGGGAGCAACGTGGATTCCCAGGAATGATGGGAAGTATTGACTGCATGCATTGGGGTTGGAAAAATTGTCCTACAGCATGGGCTGGGCAATATGCCGGAAGAAGTGGAAAACCAACAATTATTTTGGAAGCTGTTGCATCATATGACTTATGGATATGGCATGCATTTTTTGGAACACCAGGTTCGTGCAACGATATCAATGTACTTCACCAATCTCCTGTTTTTGATGATATTTTGGAAGGTCGTGCACCAGAAATTAGCTACGTTGTGAATGGTCAACAAAGAAATATGGGATATTACCTCACTGATGATATATATCCTTCATGGGCTACATTTGTTAAATCAATTATTTCCCCCAAACTTCGAAAGCACAAATTGTTTGCTCAGCACCAAGAGGCGGCTAGAAAAGATGTTGAGCGCGCATTTGGTGTTCTACAAGCTCGTTTTGCATTTATCAAACGACCATGTCTAGTATGGGATCGTTTTTTTATGGGAAGAATTATGATGGCTTGTATCATCATGCACAATATGATAGTAGAAGATGAACGGGATGCCTACTTGAATTATTATGATCCTACAGAATTTATGAACGAGAGGCCTACAAACGGATGGAGGCAACAAAGAAGGAACAGAAGAAATGACGTAGAAGAAGAGGAAGATGATATGCCTTTTCAATACTCGACTGAAAGTATCACAAACCTATCTACGTATATGACCAATAGGTCACAACTCCGTAATAGAGAAGCTCACGTGACTTTGAAAAATGACTTGATTGAGCACATATGGGAAAAATTTGGCAATGGTAGTTGATGTGTAATTTCATTTGAAATGTTTGTAACTTGTTTAGTTTATTTCGTACCGAATTATGTAATTTCAATTTTTAATTATGTTTGTAATTTTTTTTTAGTTGTATTTTAAAATATTAATTTTTTGAAATCAATATTTTTAATTATAATTTTTTTCATTAATTTATCACAACTAAAAAAATAACAAAAAATCTATTGTAGATAATATTTAATAAATAAAAATAAAATATATAGTATGTTGGGTTGGATTGAGTTGGGTTAGGGATAAAGATATGTAGGTTGTTAAAAGTTGAGTTATGTAGGTGGAGAGGAGAGAAATAATTTTTTATTATTGGGTTGGGTTTGGGATAAAGATAGTCTTATTAATTTGAGTCATTAGATTATCTTTTACTTTCAGTATAACTAGAAAATAGTTGTTGGTGCCCCCTCTACCCAAAACATACACACACAATTATTCTCAAATTGCTCTTTGCCCCCAAAATCTTCCCCCGTCGCCTCAGCATTCCCTCTCAAATTTATCTACCTTCCTTCACCCGATCCTCGTCGTCGCTTCCATTATTGCTTCATTTATTGTTACTAAGAACAAAGACCTTTTTTTTTTCAACCATTACAGCAAAAACCTAATCAGCTTTGTGAATGCGAGGATAAAAAAGCAAGTGGGATTTAATTGTGGCACTGCAGTCAAATTCATCTCCGACAAGCCGCCTGAGAAACAGCTCCTCCTCGACCTCAAAGCAACCTCGGCTACCACGCCTCCCTCTCAACCAAGCTAATGCAGTGGAATGAATCCACCGACCATACTAATGGCTCGGCGTAAATTATGACTCTCAAAATTGCTTTTCCGACCTCGATCTTAGCCTCGAAGTAATTTTTGGGGGGATTAACCGAGCTCGCGCACCTTCCGCCGGGGTTCGGGAGGCTCGCGAATTTGAGGCGCCTGAATCTGAGAAACTCGGATTTCGCGGGCTAGGTCATCCAGATTTATCGGGCTTAACGAGGTTAGTGGTTATAGATCTTTCACTGCAATTTACTCGTCGATTGGAAAATTTGATTCGAAATTTTACGGGGTTGAGAGAGCTCGTCCTCCACAGGGTGAATGTTTATGAGCAAGGGCGTGTTTGGTGCAGTGCTATTTCATCTTCCTTGCAATCTGAGCTTAGCAATTTCTTACTAACGAGCCCTTTCAATCCGTCTTTGGTTAAGCTTAGGTTTTTGTCTGTCATACTCTTTATGGCAACACATTTCTTGCCCTTACCCTAACTCTTGCAGAATTAAATCTGAAGTTTTTTGGTTAGACACATGATGAGGATTGGTATCCAGAATAATTTTATGGTTAAATTAATAAATGTTTTATAATTGAACAAGTTGAATTGGAATCTAGAAGATTGGTACTCTCAAGTCTCAAGTCATTGGCTAAATATTTCTAAATTTGCATGTATGCATTTAGTTTGCTATATCAATATCCTAATGAATGATCTATAAACTATTATTATGGACCTTTTAATGGTAGCTAAAATTTGCACACGTGAGGTTTCGTGAATATAAATAAATAGCTTGATATTTATGAGGTTTATATTTCAATCAGTGTTATAGGATATGTGAGGGGAAGATTTTAATTTTGAGAGAATCTACAAGAAAATAAGTCTTGTATTGAGAATTTGAGATGATGCGTCGCTGATATTTTTTTCTATGAGATTCTTCTATAAATGTTCGTGTTTTTTTTGTCCTTTGATCTTTTCTAACGAGTTTTGAACTTGAAAGCTGCTTATACAGATGAAGTCTAAAGGAGTGACCATGATGGCTTTACTAGCCCAGGCAACCGCCCTTGCTTTGGTCGAACATCCAGTTAAGAACTCTAGCTATAGAGTAAACACTTTACGTATAACAGCCATATCAACATATTGCAGTTGTTGATGGTGGGTTGATTACACCAGTGCTTCAATAAGTGCTTCAAAATGCTGGCAAGATCAAAATTTCCAGTTCTATTTTAGTTAATTTTTTTATTCTTTTAGCCCTTGATCTGTTAGATTGTAATAACAGTAACTTGTTTTTATCATTTTTCTCTTAGATTAACATATAATCGTCATTGTGATATTGGAAGGAATTGGTCCATAAGGCATGAGCAAAGAAGCTCCAACCTAATGAATATAATACAGGTAACTCTGATGTAGAACGTAGTACGAAAAGGAAGAACATGAGAGACTCTCTTGTAGGAATTTCAGAATTCAGATAAAAATCTAAAAAATCATTACAATCCCAAAGTAATAAATAGAGAGTCCTACTCAACTAAGCATCTTGCCTAACAAGTGCAAGATATTTATTTAATTGTCCTAAATGAAAAAAAGGAAATAAAGGAAATAAAGAAGGAAATAATATGAAAGAGCATAATAATAAACGAGCTAAACCCGAAGATGATCATATTTATTTAAAAAGGTGATTGCGGTCTCGTCTCCATCATCCTCCCCCAATTGGGAAGGATTCGGCCGCGAATCCGAATCGGTCTCGTCTCTGTCGCCATCCTCAGAATTGTCGCCCGTAAAAGGAAACAGGTGCTTAACGTAGAAAACTTCAGACGTGCGAATGTGCAACGAAAGGCGTAGACGATAGGCATTAGGGTTGATCTTCTCAACCACCTCAACCGGGCCAATCTTTCGAGCAGATAACTTGTTATACTCGTGGGTTGAGAACTTGTCCTTAGTCAAAACTGCCCAAACAAAGTCACCTACCTCGAACTCGACATGGCTACAACGAATGTCCGCTCGACTCTTGTAAGCAGCCGTGGTGGACTCCAAACGCGCCCGTGCCGCCGCGTGAGTCGCTTGTAAGTCAGCAATGAGATCAGCCGCGCGACGAACGACAGAAGTTGTGGCCGGCAACGCGAGCAAAAAAATGCGGGCCCCCGCGGCTGGACTGCATACACCGTCTGGAAAGGGGAAAGGTCAGTGGCCCGACTCACGGTCGAAATATGAGCAAACTCGGCCTGACACAAACGTTGGTCCCAACTCCGGAGATTATCACCCACCAAGCAACGAAGCAGGTTCCCCAATGAACGGTTCACCACCTCCGTCTGACCATCCGTCTGGGGATGATATGCACTGCTAAAGTCCAACCGTGTGTTTGCCATACGCCACAAACTACGCCAGAAATGGCTCAGAAACCTAGTGTCGCTGTCCGAAACAATCGACGAAGGCAGACCATGTAAACGGTAAACCTCCCGAAAGAACAATTGGGCCACGTGAAGTGCATCTGTAGTGCGCTTGCATGGAATGAAATGCACTATTTTGGAAAATCGATCGACCACGACAAAAATAGAGTCAAATCCTCGCTGTGTACGTGGCAAACCCAAAACAAAATCCATACTTACCGCACTCCAAAAAACAGATCCTCCCCATACACCTCCCGCAGGACATCAAATCCTACAACAATAACCCGCATATCAGTCAAAAGAAGTGTATGACGGTTCAAGGCATCAGCCACTCTATTCGAAGCACCCGATCGATGTCACAAAACAAAAGTGAAATGCTGCAGGAACGCCGTCCAAGACGCATGACGGGCAGAAATATTGTCCTGGGTCGCCAAATGTCGCAAGGCCTTGTGGTCCGTGTAAAGTATAAACTCTCGATAAAATAGGTAATGACGCTAGTGTCGGACTGCACGAACTACAGCATAGAACTCGACGTCACAGGTGTTGTACCGGACGTGAGGGCCCGATAATTTTTCACTAAAGAAAGAGACCGGGCGACCATCCTGACTGAGAACAACACCAATCCCCACCTTCGAGGCGTCACAGGAAAGCTTGAACGACTTTGAAAAATCTGGCAACACGAGCACAGGGGTAGTAGTCAATTTGCTCTTAATAAGGCAATCCGTGATTGGAGCGGTAACAATACTAAAGTGTGAGATGAAACGGCGATAGAACGAGGCTAGGCCGTGAAAACTACGAGCCTCTGTAAATGATGTCGGAGTAGGCCACTCTCGGATAGCGGCCACTTTGCTCTCATCCACCCGAATACCCTCCGCCAAAATCACAAAGCCCAAAAATAAAATCGAATCAACTAGGAAAGAGCACTTACGTGGGGCAGCAAAAAAAGACTCGGCTTATAGGAGTAGAACCGAACGCACGTGCTGTAGATGTTCCTCCACCGAGCGGCTATAAATGAGAATGTCATCGAAATAAACGACGGTACACTTGCCGATGAAGTCGCAAAGGGCCTGGTTCATTACCCGCATGAAAGTACTAGGGGCATTCGACAAACCAAAAGGCATCACCGTCCATTCGAATAACCCTTCCCTGATTTTGAACGCAGTCTTCCACTCATCACCAGACCAGATCCGAATATGATGATAGCCGCTATGCAAATCCAATTTGGTGAAAACGGTAGCACCATGAAGTTGATCCAGCAAATCGTCTAATCTCAGAATCGGAAAGCGATAGCGGACTGTGATTTTGTTTATCACGCGGCTATCGACACACATACGCCATGACTGATCCTTCTTTGGTATAACAAGGGTCAGTACCGCACACGGGCTCATACTCCGGTGCACCACACCTCGTTGGAGGAGCTCTTCGACCTGACGACGTAGCTCCTCGTGCTCCATAGGACTCATCCGATAATGCGGTCGATTAGGCAGAGAAGCCCCCGGAACCAAGTCTATATTATGTTGTATATCACGAATGGGTGGTAGCCCCGCGGCGATATTCTCATGAAACACATCAGCGAACTCCTCCAATAAAGGACGAATGGACTCGGGTGGCAACTGTTCGGCACTTGTGTCCACTCCTACCAGTAACAAAATCACTGGAGAGTCACGCATCTCTGCAACAAAATCCTGACGAGAGAGAACAAGTACAAATGAAGATTCACTCGGTGTCGGTTGAAGGCGCGGTGTATTCGGGAGTAACACGATCTTAACCCCACCGAAAAGAAAGGAATATGTGTTCAGTCGGCTGTCATGAGTGGCCGAACGAACAAATTTCCACGGCCGACCTAGGAGCAAATGGCGCGCATCCATTGGGACCACATCACACCATACATGATCATGATATTTGGACCCAACGGAAAAAGAGATTAAGACTCGGCGGTCAACAGTGATTGTCGTACCTTTCTATATCCACGCAAGAGTATACGGCTGTGCTGTTAGCCTCCGTAGAAAGTTGTAATTTGTCCACTGCTTCCTGCGCGACAACATTTTCACAGGACCCGGAGTCAATGATAAAATGGCAAACCTTGTTACCGATCGTGCACGTAGACTCAAACAAGTGATGTCGCTCCATGGGTGCCTCCGTCGATCCTCGCGGCGCCAAACAAGTACGCCGTAGAACCAAAGTCGTTCCAACATCACCGGTCACGTACTCCTCCACGTCTCCCGGTTCAGCATCATAAACTGGTGGTCCTCATACCCTTCAGCCGCGACAAATTCCCCCGCCTCGTCGGTGAACAACGCCCGCGTACCAGACACCTTCGGGCATACCGACTGACGATGTCCCATCTCCCCGCAATCGAAGCACCTCAGGCCGCTAACTGTAGGCCCGCCAGTCCGTGGACCCCCTCCGCTGGATCCCGGCAAGCGCCCGACCACCGTGTTCTGGCCGAAAGCACCCCCTGCCGCAGGAGCTGATCGCGTGGATGGTGGAGCCGAACCCCAAGTCGCTCCCGGTCGTGAAGAAGGAGCAAATGACGAGCCCGTTTTTTGTGCTAATTGAATCTCTACGAGAATGGCTCGTTGATGAGCATCTGAAACCGATTCCGAATGGAACATATTCAACATATCACGAATCCCCGTACGTAACCCTCCTGCGTACCGAGAAACCAATTGATTCTTTGTCTCGCGTAAGTCGACACGAGTCAAGAGCAGATGGAACTCCATTGTATACTCATTCACCGAACGTGTCCCTTGACGTAGATACTGTAGTTGCTGATACACAAGGCTATCGTAGTTGAACGGCACAAACTCAAGCTCCATTTGTTCACAAAATTTCATCCAAGATGAAAGTGGCGGTTTCCCTTGACGATGCCGCAAGCTGGTGAGTTGTATCCACCATACTGTCGCCTGTCCCCGAAAACGTGTAGCGACTGAAGCGACACGAGTCCCTTCCGGGACCTCCTTGAAAGCGAGGGCGACTTCAACCGAAGCCCACCAATCGATCAATTCCGATCTGTCCACCCCGCCGTCGAACTCGGGAATCTCAACATGAAACCCTTGCTCCTAACGCGACTCATCGCCCCCTTCTATCGGACGCCTGTCGTCACGTCGATGCGGTACCCCTCTCTCGTAACCGTCACGCTCACGGAACTCAGCCCGTTCATGTTGATCGAAGTCTCGATCATCCTCACCGCGTTAACGAGCCCCGCCGTCACCAAACCCTATGTCATTGGGTCCCCACTCGCTGTCATCGACGGCGTCAGCGCGTCCCCTCGCAAACCGTCCCTCACGGTGTCCGAACCCACCGCCGCCGCCGCGTGGAGCACGACCACCGCAGCGATTCCCCTGCCCAAAGACGTCGTCACCCGCCGGACGTCGTCACCCGCCGGACGTCGTCGCTATACTCCAGCGAACTGGTTGACCTCGCTGACGGTGTCGTCATCGCCCTCATCGTCGGACGGAGTTCCTGGTGAACGTCGGCGGGGTGCCCCGCCATAGCCGCGTCCCCCACGACCTCCGCGAAATCCACCGTGCATGGCCGCGAAATCCACCGTGCATGGCCTGGTCGCCGCCGTCGCGTCTCGTACGAGCCTCCTCCATCATGGTACTCATTGTCTGGTGCAATTCCTCGATCCCCGTTGAAAGATCCGTAAATCAGTCGTCCATCCCTTGGAATCGCTCTTCCATTTGCTGGAAGCGATCATCGACGACGTTATCTCTCTTGGGCGGCATCGTGGATCGTCATTGGTCTCTGGATACCAATTGATGTAGAGCGTAGTACGAAAGGAAGAACACGAGAGACTCTCTCGTAGAAATTTCAGAATTCATATAAAAATCTCAAAAATCAACTGACTGCGTATGTTACAATCCCAAAGTGATAAATAGGGAGTCCTACTCAACTAAGCATCTTGCCTAACAAGTGCAAGATATTTATTTACTTTTCCTAAATGAAAAAAAAAAAGAAATAAAAGAAATAAAGAAGGAAATAATATGAAAGAGCATAATAATAAACGACTAAACTCAAAGACGATCATATTTATTGAAAAAGGCGATTGTGATCTCGTCTCCATCAAACTCGGTTGTGTGTTGGCTCGAACCTGCTTGGATGATTCAATTTGCTTCTACTATAATTAATACAAATCACCATCTTCCACATATTCCTTTTGTTGCATTAATTCCTGAGCATGCTTATTTCATTGGCACTTTTACTATGTCTAACCGTGGAATGTTTGGGGTGGATCGTTTTGATGCCATCTTGCTACCAGAAATTGTAAGTATATTATCTTAAGTATATTTTATTCTATTGTTAAAAAATATGTTACCGTAAAAAGAGAAATTTGTTAGTAATTGAGGAAATTTACAAATGTTTTAAATGGAAGCCAACTAGCGAAGTCGATAGTTGCTTTTGAAAGAATCTCTTGCTTTCAAATGCTTTCAAAATTAATTGCCATGTAAAATTTCAATTGGCCATGATATATTGCAAATTGTATGAATATTTGCAGATAAATGTACGAATTTTACTAATTTACTTTTAAAGAATATTTATATTGTCATGCATCTCTCTCTCTCTCTTCGTAATATTTCATGATAGTTTTTTATAGAATAACATAAGGTACGATCGTCAATTCATTTTGTTTTTAATCTTGAAATGCTACATTCTAATCTCAAAAAATTTAACTTTTTAATTTAATTTAACAAAAACACACTTACACAACCACTTACAATGTTTTCTATTTTATAATAAACATTATTCGCTTCTTTTTTCATCTCCGCGCCTAATGCGAGTTCAAAGAAGATAATTCATACATTATTTGATATTATGAAATGAAGATGAATCTATAGTGTTTCTTGGTAAAAAACTTGATTAAGCAAAACAGATTCGTAGTGTCAGTCAATTTTGGAGATTGTTGTATATTCTTTTCATTTTTATTTTTTATAACTTTTATAATCATTTCTTGCAGACATTCATAAAATTCGTTCGATCTGCATAAATTCATAAGTTGGGACTTAATTTGATCATTCTTATTATTTCTTATGAGAAGGAAATGATGCTAGCAAGGCAAAAGAATGAGGGTAGATTTTCTGTGCAGGTGGAGGATTGCAAGTCTATTTTTAAATAATGTGCCAAAAATTTTCAAAAATATCATGAATATTATAAAAATCACATGAGATAGGGATATTATTGTTCTATTAGCACATTAGTATTTGTTATTTTCCATTTGATAAAATTAATGTTATATCTTGCAAAAGATCTCTATTATATGTGGGCAAATGAATTGAAACACATTAAGGCATTAATATAAAACAATTAGCATGGGTCGACCATGCTTTGCACGGCCATTAGCCTTCTAGTATTATATATAAATGTATATTTTTCCAACTTACGTGTCAATATTTAATTTATTCCAATTTTATGTTATTTTTTTGTACATCCTAATTTGTGTGGCTTATGAGTTGTATAGATCTAAACCATTAGGTTAGGACTTTTATATTAAAAAAATTACTTTTGTAACTGTAATCCGCTGGTTGCCTCTTCCTGACGGGAAGCTTTGCATCGCCGTGTCGCAGTTGCCGCAGGTCAGGGCCACCGGCCTCTCGCTATGTTCGGGATTCCGCATATTGGAGCTACGTCGGAGCGAGTTTCGCTGGCGGGTCTTTGGAGCTGTGGAGATCTCCGATTCACGGTGGAGTGGTTGGGTGGCGGTCTCTACCTTCGCCGATCGAAGGATGGAGTTGAGGTGAGTTCCTTTCCCCCCTCTTTTGTCTTGCTTACCTGGGGTTGGTATGCGTGATCTTCTCGGCTGAGGTTGTTGTGGCCAATGGCGGCTCTTTTCGTCGCCGGTGGTGCTGTGGACTTTCGGTTGTTCGGACTCTGGCCGTTGTTGTCCCTCCTGTGTCCTTTGCCCTGTTTGTGGAGGATGTTTAAGGGGGGTGAATCAGTNGATCTAGTAGTGGCGGTCGGGTTGTGACGCCGTTCTGTCCCTTTTCTCCCCTACACTCTGGCGCTGGTTCAGGGGAGGCTGGTGTTTCTGCCTCTCTCGGCTAGTGGTGTTAGCCGAGGCAGGGCAGTGGTGGGGCGGAGGGTTTTCTGGGTGTTCCGGTGGCTGGGAGGGTGACGGTGCTGACGGTAATCGTAGAGGGCTCTAGTTGTCAATTGCCTTTGTGCTGCGGGTCGGAGAGGTGGTGTCGGTTTGGGGCTGACTTCCATTGACCGGTTCGTGGTCGACTACCTCGGAGAGTTGCGTGGCTGGAGTATCGGATCTTGTTAGGCATTTTCGATAGTTTCAGGTCTCGGTGCTTGGCTCGGTCTGCTCTCCTATTGGGTGGGAGCTCTCGGTTTCGGTGGCAGGGTTGGTGTGGCGCTTTATCCTGTTGTGGAGGAGGGCTCTCTTTAGGTGTTTATGTTTGTTGCTTTGTGTTTTTCCTTGTCTTGTGATGGTATTTGTTGGTTTAGGTTTGTGTTTTTGGTTTAGGTCATTGGCCCATGTGCGCCCGAATGTCAACTTATTGTCCTGTTGGGATAAGACATTCGGATAATACCCTGTTGGGGTCTTTTAGTGTTTTAGTGTTTTGTGTGTTCGTGAGTATTACCCCGTTGGGGTCGGCTCTAGGCGGTCTTTGACCTGTCCTCCCATTTTATTCAGTCATTGGCTGTTTGTATTCAATTGTTAGCTGTTTGTATTCAGCTGTTGGTTGTACTTTTGCACATTTGTGCCTTTTATATATATAATATCTCTATCGTTTTGAAAAAAAAAAAACTTTCATTATAAATAATATTTATGTTTGCTATTAATTTTTAAATATAATAATAACCATTTTTGTTATTTTTCAATTTGGCATTCATAATGTAGTGGAGTGGATCTAATAGGAACAACTCTTAAAGTGGGAATGTAGTGACGAACCCTAGCCCTTGTTGTTTTGATAAGGTGATGCTTGGATCAAAATCTTGTCTTTTAATTGGCTTTTTTGATTAGTCATGGTTAATTTTGCAAAAGTTGATTTCATTAAATTTGAGTGGCATTTTGAATTTGTGTTAAAATAATATTTAAAATAAAATATGATCTGATCTAAAAATAAGATAGAGATGATTGAAAGTGACAAATAGTTAAAAATATGCAAAATGATGAATAATGAATTATAGTTAATGTGATTTGCACAGATAATTGATTAATATTATTCAATTATCGATCCGCACGATCTTTCTTTCTGATATGATCTGTCTCTTTCCGATACTTTCACTCTTATATCGATCCTATATTTCTCGATCTGCTGTCTGAAACTCTAAATCTCTGGAATGATGCTCCATTCTTCTGATAACCCTTCACCTGCCTTCTATCTACATCCAAGCGACAACCCCGACGCTCTCATAGTCGTCGACGTCTCCAACGGCGACAATTACGTCTCCTGGAGTCGCGCTGTGTTCATGACCCTCCGTGTCAAGAACAAAATCTGGTTTGTCGATGGATCTATCACTCCTCCACCGCCTACTGGTAACTCTGTTCACTTTCTCGCCTGGAGTCGAGCAAACAATCTTGTTCTCTCATGTCTATTGAATTCAATTTCAAAAGAAATTAGACAGTCTTTATTATTTTTCACATCTGCTCGTGATGTTTGGGATGAACTGCGTACTCGATATGCTATGAGCGCTGGACCTAGGGTTTTTCAGTTAGAAAAGTCCCTTAGCACTATAGAACAGGGTTCTATGTCCATAACTCAGTACTATAATATGTTTAAATCTCTTTGGGATGTGTGTGTTGACCCTTGTTTAAATGTAATTGTAGTGCCTTTGTAAACTGTACTTGTGATTTGTTTGAGGGGTGGCATTGGCACAACAACATGACTCTGTTATGAAATTCTTTGTTGGTTTGCATGACTCTAGTTCCTCTCTAAGGAGTCACTTTCTTCTTTCTACCCCTATGCTTGCCCTTTCAACTGTATACTCTTTGCTACTCCAAGAAGAAAGCCGCCAACGATCACTTACCAACCAACCCTATTGAGTCCTTAGTTATGCTTGCCAAATCTCACAATTCTTTTTATAACACTCACAAACCATTCCCCAGAAACAATCAATAAAAACCCTCTACAACTTTTTACATAGACAAACCTCGTTCTAAATGCATTCACTGTGGATACAATCACCCCTCTGAAAGATGTTTCCCAGTCATTGGTTACCCAGATAATTGGGATGGCCCAAGAGGCCCTAGAATCCACCCCAATCATAATCCCAATGCCTCTGCCAATGCTACCAATGTTGAAAATAAAGTGTTGGGATATGTGAGGATCTCGTTATGTACAAATCACGAATTCAATAGCAAACGTAAATCTATGCGCAGCGAATCTAAAGGTTTCATATAGAGAACTTATGACTAAAAATTTTATGGCGATCTGGCTGATCTTCTGGATGGCCATACACAGGGTCGGCTCGTGTTGGATCTAATCAGGTCGCGTGCGTTGGTTGGGCCGGTCGTATCGCGCGTCTCCTCTCGCGATCGGGTCATCGGTCGTGTCGTCGGCTGGTCGCGATCTACGGCGGGGCTCTGGCAGGTCGTGCGGCGATCGGCTGTCGACGGTCCTCAGGCTTAGGCTCGTGGATCGTCGATTGTTGTAGAAGATTATCGGGTCTCGGTTACCTATGGATCTTCTACTGTATTACTCAAACACCCCTCTTCAACTTGTACCTGCGGAGCAACAAGAAGAAGATAAAGCTCGAATGAGAACTGAGAGAGAGTATGGGGCGGTGTGCGTTTGTGTATATGACAGATTGGTTCTCTTCTCATGAGCTTAATGATGTATATATAGAACTACAGTAAGGACCCTTAAGGATTAGAAATAGAGCTTTTTAATTAAGTAAACTAATTGTGGGTCAAGCCCACTCTTCTAATTAATTAAATAATATTATGGGTCACCAACATAAATATTATTGCACTCCATTTTCCTAGGACAAATTACATTTTAGAATCTAATTATAATTACTCGATTTATCTCCCCACGTTTAAGATATAATGTCCATTAATTAATTCGATTAATGACAATAAAAAATTAATTAATTTATTAATATTTCACCGAAGCTATAGCTCGTTCATCACATTCTTATTATGCCGAAATTTAATCCACCTGCAGGGTTTAGCATAACGATCCTTCATGAGGGACATCATCAAACTAACGCACATGGTGACCGTAAATATCCTAACAGCACATCCTATATATAGTAATATTACCCAAAACAGTAGGAATATTAATCCAGCGAACTGGACCTCACCCAAGTGAATCAAAGTAATATGAACTACATATATATGCTTGTTTAATATCTTACGGGTTAAGAGAACATAGTAATTAAACGAAGCCTAGTTCATTTACGACGATCAGTATAAAAGGAACTTCTCCTCTCTGGGATCATGTTCAATACATAAATGTACTAGTGCAACTAATCATTCAAGGCAAACCGTACAGTTGACACTACAACCGTTCGGTTGGGGTATTCATGTCCATCTAGGTTGTGAACAACTATTCTTGTTTTGCAAGTAACTGATAGAATGATCTTCGGTTCGCCCGATGACGACCCACTCTATCTACGTGCAAAACAACAGAACATAGAACTTGTTTAATCTAACATGATTCTCATTCATAAAGGGCAAAGGTGTAATAACATGCAAAGCCATGCTTTCAGTATAAAACACTAACAATCTCCCACGTATACTTAAAGCTTTCGCTTTTACAGTATAGTCCTATCAATCCGTTATTCTTAAAAACCTATTTCGATCCTATCGCCATGCTCATGACTCTCATTCCTTCCACGTGTTTGACGAAGACCTTCCCCGACAAACTCTTCGTGAAAGGATCAGCTAGGTTGTCCTCTGATGCAATATTGACAACATCAACGTATCCTCTACCAACTATATCTCGTATCAGATGGCATTTGCGCTCTATGTGTTTGCTTGCTCTGTGAGATCGAGATTCTTTTGAGTTTGCTACTGCTCCACTGTTATCACAGTACACGGTGATACAACGTGGCAAACTCGGAATCACCTCTAAGTTCACTAAGAAGTTTTTGAGCCAAACTGCCTCTTTCGCTGCCTCTGAGGCTGCTATGTACCCGGCTTCCATTGTGGAGTCTTCCACGCATTTAAACTTAGCACTCCTCCATGAAATGGTTCTACTTCCTCAGGTAAACACATAACCTGAGGTTGACTTACTCTCGTCCCTATCTGACTCGAAATCGGAATCACTGTAACCCAGAGGTAACAAGTTGTCTGCACGGTAATCTAACATGTACTCCTTAGTCCTTTTCATGTACTTGAGTATACGTTTCACCGCAGACCAATGTTCCCGTCTCGAATTACTTTTCTAGCTACCATGCCAACGGCGTAGCTAATATCCGGTCTGATGCACAACATCGCATACATAAGACTTCTTACTGTCGAAGCATAAGGAACTATCTTCATGTCCTCTATCTCTCTTCAGATGTCTTTGAAATCATCTCCATAGACAGTGGTATTCCATGTTTGAAAGGTAGCATACCTTTCTTGGAATCCTGCATGCTGAATCTGGCGAAGACAGTATCTATGTATGAAGACTGGGATAAGCACAACATTCTCTTCTTACGGTCTCGAATGACTCTAATACCAAGAATGTGTCCTGCTTCACCTAAGTTTTTCATATCAAACTGCTTAGACAACCACACCTTTACGTCTGATAACTCCTTCTTACTGTTTCCAATAAACAGTATGTCATCTACGTAAAGCACAAGAAACACCACCACGCTCCCACTAATTTTCTTGTAAACACAGTGCTCATCCGGACATTGAGTGAACCCGTACGACTGGATCACTTCGTCAAAACGGATGTTCCAAGATCTCGAAACTTGCTTCAGTCCACAAATAGACAGATTAAGCTTACACACTAGGTGCTCACGACCCTCAGCAATGAATCCCTCTAGTTGCTGCAAATATATGTCTTCCTGAAGGTTCCCCTTATGGAAAGCCGTCTTGACATCCATATGCCAAAACTCGTAATCCATATGGGTGGCTACAGCTAAGAGAATCCGAATGAATCTGAGCATAGCTACCGGCGAAAAGGTCTTATCATAAACAATACCCTCGATCTGGGTATAACCTTTCGCAACCAGCCTAGCTTTGAAGGTTTTCACCTTCCCATTCGATCATCTCTTTCTTTTGTAGATCCACTTACATCGAATGGGTTGTACCCCATCGGGTGGTTCTACAAGATCTCGGACCTGATTGGAGTCCATTGACCCCATTTCAGCTTTCATTGCAACTTCCATGAATCTGCATCTTTATCTTGGAGTGCCTCATCGTAAATTTTTGGGTCCGATTCTAGGTCTCCTAGAACTAAGTCCGATGACTCTCCAAGACCTATCCATCGGTTGGGTAAATGAGAAACCCTCCCACTACGACTAGGTTCTGTTTGCACTAGTACACTCCCAGTGTATCGTGTTGCAGTGTTATGTGATGTATCTACTTGCGCACTCGGTAGGGAACCATCGACTTCACTCCTTAACTCCTCTAAGACTAATCTACTCGCGGGCTTATAATTCATAATATAGTCTTCTTCCAAGAATTTAGCATTCGTTAAAACGATCACCTTCTGATCCCTGGACTATAAAATAATCCACCTTTCGTTTCCTTGGGATAGCCTACGAAAACTCGTACTTCCGAATGCTTTTTCAATTTGCCAGGCTCCTGCACAAAAACGTGTGTAGGGCTACCCCACACTCGAATATGTGAAAACTCAAGCTTGCGCCCTTTCCACATTTCGTAAGGAGTAGTATCTACTGACTTCGATGGAACCAACTTTAGAATGTACGAAGCTGTTTCCATCTCCATT